CACGCACGCACGCACGCACATGCACGGGTTGAACGGCTGCATGCATTGAGGCGGTTCATGGAATCTTCTTAGCCCGGAACCCAGCTGATCCGCAGGAAGCACGAGGCAGAGCTGACAGAGAGAAGATGCTCTCGGAAGAAAAGAGCGGAGGAAGCACCAGACTGCCTAGTGGCTGTAGGTGCCTCTAAGAAATTCGCTTGAGGACCTCCCGGCACCTTGGGCCGCTGTGGGACACGTCCTCGATGCCCTGGTTCCCGGTGGTCGCCTGGCGACTCATGCAGCAAGCAGCTGACGGACGTGCTATATTTGTCGATTGCTACCACCGCAGAGGTTTACCATCCCGTAAGTTGGAGCTCAACCCTCAGATTGCTTCAAGACTCCCCGAACCGAAGCTTTTGGCATCCTTCAATCTGTGGTGGGTTCCTGACGCTTCGATGAGCTGCTGCTTGCAGCCTGAGCCTGAGGTGACCTTTTCGCCCTGCGTGGAGCAGGTTGGGACGGGACGGGTGCAGCAACCAAAAGCACAGAAACCAGCCGGCCCATGCCCGCACCCTTCTCCCGAACCGACGTGAATAGCCAGAGGTGGACAAGACGGCCACGGAGCTCCGGCGCAGCTGCCGATTCTTCGACATCCGCATGTGGCCTTGAACCGGGGATTCTGGTGCCGGAGTCGGGGATGAATTGCAAGCTCAACCGTAGCAGTCCGCACCCAAGCCTCCTGTTCGCAGGGGGTTGTCTGCCCAGCTGCAGGCGACAAAGAATCAAGAATAAGCCACTGGAGTGAGTGGAGGCTGGAGACGCTGGCCGTGAACTGGGGCGTGCGCGCTGCTGAGGCGGGGCCCAGCACGGACCTTGAAGCACTTTTTTGGTAGGTTCTAGAAGGCTTCGAAGGAGTTACAACAGTGAAAGATTCCCAAAGCCTCGGAGCCCTCTTTGGAGGCCAAGTCCAAGAAGCGGCGCCTGCCGAACCAGGAGCGACCGGGCTACTAGTCGTAGGCGGACTCGCAGTCCGATGTTGAACCGTTGGACCTAACTCTGCTTGCAGCTACCTGAAGAGCTCCGGCGGTTGAACCTCCGACTGCAGCTCCCTGTCGAGCCTTTGGGATCCGCGCTGCGCAGTGCTGCAGACATGGCCTTGTGTGAGTAACTGCCGAATCGCGCGATGTGGACAAGACCTCTTCAAACACTGCGGTTTGCCTGGCAACCCGCTCTATCCGGAGCCACGCTCTGGAATCAAGTCTTGCACGACAGAGCAGTCAGTGCCGAAGATCTAGCAGCCACAGCACCTCCGGTACACTACTTGCAATCGTTGGCTGAGTTGGCCGCGGAGGCCAGGCACCAGCCACGTTGGCCTAGATCACAGCAGAGATTTCTCCGGATACCGAATCAGTATGGAGAGGTACCCTGCCACGGTTGTGGAAAATATATGCAACCTGATGAATTTCACAAAGGCCGATCGAGGTGAAAATCCTGTGATCGGAACTACCAGCTTCGGTACTTCGGCACACTGCGAGGCACAATGATCAGCCTAACATCTTCATCTAGGACGCGATCTCTGAAAAAAGGTATGTGCCACGCTCTTTCTTGGCACGATGTCCTGGACATGCTGGTGGAACAAGGTGGACGGTGCGCATACTCCGGAGTTGCGATGGAGATTTTGATTCCTTGCTCGAACTGGCGCGTTTCCATCGAAAGGAGAGATAATTCCAAAGGGTATGTGAGAGACAACTGCGTGCTCGTCGCGGGTGAATTCAATTCGCCTGATTTCAGCAGGTGCAGGGGTGTGCGAGAACAGGATATACGCGGCACTGCACAGTGGTCCACTCAAAAGGCTGCTTTCGTGAGCAACTGCGATGCTTTTAGTGTGGATATTCAACGACTTCATCTAGATGTGAATCTTGCTCGAGAGGTCCCTCGTCTATCAGTTGGGCCAAGAAGAGAGTATAGCCGTGCATACAGCAGGACGCTGAAGGGCAGGGCCATGACACTAGCAAGCAGTGCCAGGCGCAGAACTCCAAAGATGGGGCAGGCATGAGATCGAATATGGCGACATCCTGCAGATGCTACTGGTGCAGGGTGGGCGGTGCTTCTACTCAGGTGTTCCACTGCGATATGATCAGCCGCATGTTGATTGGTAAATGTCCTTGGAGCGGTTTGATAACAGAGTGGGATACACGAAAGAGAACTGCGTTCTCATAGCGGCAGAGTTTAACACATCTGACCACAGCAAACATGCTGTAAGGCAGGTTCGGGGATCGTCCCAGTGGTCACGTGCGAAAGTAATGCATGTTTGGGGACACGCCGCATTCTCCGACTTTGAATCGCAGATGCCGAGACATCCGAAAACAAGACAACGGGGCCCTACGGGATGGCTGCAACCGTTGAGCAGGAGCCCCAGGAAATTTGGTCCCGCAGGCCACAGGTTTGAAGCAGGCGCTTGCAGTGCAAATCCATGCCCTTGTGCAATTCCGCTGGTCGTTTGATGATCAGCCGGCTAGCAAATGGGCAGAACCTTAATTTTCCGTCTTTTTGAGCAGAGTTTATGTTCATGCCAGGACGCAGACGAGTCTTCGAGGCTGGTGCCTTTGGACACAGCTAGTCTTTTGCGGTGCTGCGTCGCTGGATTTCGATGAATGTGTCAGTCGTTGCAGGATGTAGCGGGCATCACTCTCAGAATGTTAACTCCCGCAGTGGTTTGAGCCCTCGCTAGGCTGTCGTGACTGGTCAGCTTGTGTATCTTGTGTTGGCCTTCGCCACAGTTGCTAGTGGCTACCCAACAATGACACCGGGTTGACAGACTCCTTGTGTCCTGTGTGCAGGCCACAAGAGCCCAGCACAACTGCAAAAAGCGGTGCAGGGCCCAGGAAACCTTCGACTCATGTGCCATGCTCTCGATGTGCTGGACTTGCTCCTGTCCAGTTCAAAGTTTAGCAACGGCAGACGCCCGTGCGGCTTTAATGCGCTTCTGCTTTAAGTATACTGTCAGGGACGGGCATGGTCTCGAATTTTCTGCTGTGCACTTCGGTTCGTTATGCTGTTTCAAGGGATGCAAGTCTGGGCAAGCAAGGTCCAGATCCTGGGAGCCAGTGGCTGAGCTACCAGATGCCCATGAGGTCCCACACGGCCTGCTGCTCAGCATTCTATGTTTGTGGTGTCGTTATATGGTCCCCCTCTTTGTCAAGCTCTGTGCTGAATACGTATTCTGAGGCCTACCTGCTGGTAGCCACGCGGGCACCGGCCGACGAAGCCTAGCCGTAAGATGCGCAGCGCTGCGCGGCAGAAGAACGGCTGGCTGCTCTAAACAGCGCGGGTCGCATGCAGTGTTTGTCAGGACGATCAAGACTTCAAGACGGGGTCTTTATGCATGTTGTCGTCTCCTATTGCCCGCGCAGGCAGTCTACAGGCGAAGGCCTCGCGTACACGACGATGCCGACACGGGACATGGACCAGGCCGGGCATACGCAAACTGCTCATTCTCAGGTAGGGATAGACCCGGAAGGTGCGGACGATTCGCCCACCATCCACCCTGTCAAAGGCTGGACGCCTCCTGCTTCTGAAATCAGGGGTCCTCAATCCTCAAACAAAATGCTTTCCTGAATGCATGCGCACGGGGCTGTTCTGTCACGGCTTGAGGCCGCTGAGGCTTGAAATCTCGAAGCATGTTGAACGTGGCTTCTGGTGCCAGGGAGGCAGACAGTCCGAGGGCCACCAAAGTGCCCGGCTTGGGGCAGCCTGAGGGCAGAGCAGACTTGGACCTACAACCAGTTGCGGATTCGACTCGCGGCGGAAACCATCTGCCGATCCTTCAAAGGACATGCAACGCAACATCAACGGACCAACGGAGTCTCTCGGAGCCCCAGGTGCCCCACGGCTGCGGGCGACGCCAGCACCCTCGGCAGGGGCCCTGGAAGCTTTGAGCCTGTGAAAGGCGTCAGGTTCACTCTGAGTTGTGGCCCTGGATGAAGTCCCCTAAACTGAGAGCCCCGTGGCCCGGTGTTATCAGGGCATCGCGCATGCTTCTGTCCGTGAGGTGCGGAGCACCACCAGCTCCCAAAGATCGATGAGGCCCAAACTAAGCCAGGGACTCTTGGATCAGGGAAGTGCCTTGCTTGGGGATTGAGGGCTCTAAGGCCCAGTGCTTTCGCTCTCCCCTTGCAGACGGCTGTTTCTTCGGGCTGGGGTTATAGGATACGCCTGGTTTGTGAGGTTATCCAGTTATACATACCATAGTAAAGTCCATTATACCATACCAGTGACTAGACCAGACTAGACGAGACCAGGCTAGACTAACAGCATAGGGTCCTCAAAACTTTTGAGGTCATCAAGTCCTTGTGGATGCTACTGCCGTGCAGGCGGTCCGAGTCGGCAGTGGCTGCAAGGACGTTGGTTGGAGTTCGCACTGCGCCAGCTTGAGGTTCAGGGTTTAGGATTTAAGGTTTAGGGTTTAGATGGGTTTAGTTAGGGCTGTTTGGGGTGCAGGAGGCCACTCCAGGCCTCTTGCATATGCACGAAAAAGCCGGTGTTGTAACTTCGATCTACCATGATTTGGCCCTTGCGGTATCCGATGCCATAGGTTGCTAATTAAGAGCTGTGCTGGTATGTGTGAATTCCAGTGTGGGGGCCAGCAAAGCAACCTCACAACCAAAGGCAGGCTGGCTTGACTTACCGAGTTAGGTTGTTGACTTGCGTCAAACACACATGGCTCGAACTGGTGCCAGCTGGTTGTGGCATCTCAACCAGCACAAGCATGGAGTAAAGGAGCATGTAACTAATCGCCGACCCCATAAGCCCCGGATCCCGAACCTGAAACACCTCGCCCAACATCCGAAAGGCCCTGAAAGCCCGAAGAATCCCATCTCTGCAGCCGATTTCGGCTTCTTCCCTGCCATCCCTTTGCTTCCGGACGCGTTCTGCTGGGCCTGGAGGGCTCTAGGAACGCAGAGACCCCACTTGGAGGTTCAGGCTATCTGCAACATCTTATCATCCAGTCAAAATCAAATCCCCTTTACGCCAAGGTTGAGTGTTATCAGCTTCGGATTCGGCGTGTCTGCATGTAACAGATTTCTAACAGGGTTTAGGCTTTGGGGGGTATGCAGTCTAGGAATCGGCTTGGGGTTGTAGGATTTAGGATTTCGGGTTCAGGGTCTGGGGTCACCGCCCTGAATCTGGCTGCCTCCTCCGATGCTCACGCCTCGCGGCTACGATTGCTTATCGGACCCTCGCGGTGGCCCGGACGTGACTCGCTTTCATTGTGAAGAAGCTGCGGACTCAAATGGATTGTAGGGGCTCTGACACGATCACGTTGGCTAAGGCCCCCAAGAGCAGTTCCCCTCACAGAAACCGCGGGCACAGGTGATCGGAGCTGGCACAAGGCAGCTCACGGTGCGGGAGGCGTTTTCCGGGGCAGTGGTTTGCACCCTGGCGCGCCCAGTGCGCTCGGAGGAGGTGAAGAAGCAAATCGTACGAAGCAGGGGCATTCCTGAACCTGAGATTCGGCTACTTGCTGGCGACAGAGATCTTTTTGATTCCGAGTGGCTGACTAGCCACGAGGAGGTGCTTTTTGTCAGACGGCGCGAGGAGGTCGTAGCTTTCCTGGCCATTGCCAAGAACGACCCGGACGTAGGCCTGGTTGTTAAAAAAAAGACTCATGCAGGAAGGTCGAGTTTCAGCACTTTTGGCTTGGCTCCTGAGCACAGGCCTGTTTGGGGCCGACGAGTGGATCCGGGATGATGCCGAGTGCGTGGCTGCGGTCGTAGCAGTTCGTGGATTGGAGTTTCAACACGCGGCAGTGCAGCTGAGGGACAACGAAACCCTGGCGACCGCTGCCGTTCGCAGCAACGGCTTGGCGCTCGAGTTCGCATCAGAAAGACTGCAGGACTCCGCGGGTCTCTTGCTGCTGTCCGTGCAACCTGCACTTGCCGGTGCTGTTGTTCTTTTTTACCCGGGGCCAGCTGCAGGAGCACCTTCCACTTGTCAGCACCGCCGTGCTGCAAAACTATCGTGCTTTGCGCTTTGCTCGCGGGGCACTGCGGAGTGAGGGCGTGGTCGTCCGCAACGCCTTGCGGAACGTCCTTGCAACGCCCATTGCGGAAGGCCAGTTTGGCGACGACTCAGACGGGCAGTGCCTCTGCGTTGATGTGCGCAGTAGGGTTTTGGACTTTCTTTCTAGCGAGCCGTGCTTACAAACGAGGAGCAAAATCCTGATTGTTGTGGGCTCACCGTTTTTCCATTCGGTACACCCTCAAACCTCACTCCAATCTTCTATCCCGGGAGACGGACGAGGCTGGCGCGGCAGGAAGAGGTCAATCGGCTGCGCCAGCTGCAATGGGAGGACTCTCTGGTGCTTACTAAGGATGTGTTGATGAGGCAGTTTTGGGATTATGTAAGCCGACTAACAGAGACTGCATAGGCCCATTCCGTCTTTCACTCCCAGAGAAATCTGATGAAAGGAGCTTCGCGAACTCTGCCCGGAGTATATTGACCTAATCGACTTGGCGCGCAGCCTGCAGCGGAGTGCCCTGGCGTCACAATGTATCGTCGCTTTTCCTGCCCGTCTGTGTCATTCGAAGCCAACGGAACGACGGACGGGCCGATTTCCAGTCAGGTTTCAGCAAGGCGTGCTCGCCCATGTGCCTTCCGATGTGCATCGGGTTGCTATCGGGACTTCCCCTTGCGCTTGTGATGCAGCCGTGGCAGCGCTTGGTGATTCTGCCCTCGGTTGTGACTCCTAGACTGCAGTTGGAGCGCTGCAATCTTGTTGAGGAGATTCAGCGACACCCAGAGCCCTAAACCCCACACCGTCCCAGGATACCCGTGCTGCTGATGTTCTGTCTGACCTGGCGATACGACAAGACGGGCCGCGAGGTGATCCTGAAGATATCCTCGGTGGCGCTCCGCGAAAGTTCGCCGGTCAAGCGCAGACGTTTTCTCTTAGCTTTCACGTGCACTGCAGCTTGGAGGCATGTTCAAGCTAGCGACTAATTTGGGCAAAATCTCACATGGTGTCAACTACGACCAAGGTACGAATGAGCACTTGCATTTTTTGCCTCGTCTTCGATGCCGCACTGGCAGCCCTCATCAGCTCCATCGTGCTTGGTTTTATTTATCTCATCGCTTGATCGCACGGTCAAAATGTCCGACCAAATGGTACGAGGTTTAGGACCTTAGGATGTTTCGGCGACAGGGTCGGAGGAAGCTGTAGAGCAAGATCAACATGTCATTTTGCCTTCAGACCCCTTATCTGCTTTGCTTTGGCAGTCGAGCCGGGGTTCGAGTGAAGGGGTGGAATCAAGGCTTGATGGGGTTGTCCTTGAAGTGCTTCAGCTGGGATCTATAGGTGGAGCGGTGCAGCGTTTAGTGACTTTAGTGGTTCTTGTGGCCGCAGCACCAGGAGCAGGTGAGAGGGCCAGCTGCCTCAAACCCAGAGCTTCTCCGCACCTAGAGTCTCGGATCCTGAAACATCCTGAAACCCCACTGACACCCCCAGACACTGTAAGGAGCATGCTTTTTAGAACCCACTAAGTCTTATCCGAATACCTTTTAGGCATAGGCCGCTCTTCAAGACGTCAGCGTTTGGATCTCATTCCGATCCCTGGCGACGCCGCGATTCTCGATGAGTCCATCATTCAACCAAGGACTGAGTTATCGGCTTTCAGGCTTCCATCCATCAGCGGATGTGGGCACACCAAGGCATGCAAGGGAGTACAAGATTTGTTTGGACAGGGGTTCTGCAGGCCGTTTTGTTTCAACTTGTCGAATTGTAGAGCAAGCGATGCACAACACCGCGCGTCATGCAAAGCTTTCTCACGCACTACGTCTTCTTGTCGAGCCACACAGACAGAGTAAATATACATGTATATACATCATATAGACAGCACACGACCTACCTACCTACCTACCTACCTACCTACCTACCTACCTACCTACCTACCTACCTACCTACCTACCTACCTACCTACCTACCTGCCTACCGACATACATACATACATACACATGCCCGCATGCACGTATGTGCGCCGCATCTGGACAGTCTACTGGGTGCGTTGCCGAGCAATGAAGCGGAAGAGCAGCTCCCTGGATGACATCACACTGAGATTCGAAAGCGGCTCACGCTCCGCATGCTCCTCGCTGCTGCGCATGTCCTCTCCTGTGTTTGATGCGATGCTGGAGTCTGGTATGAAGGAGCAGGAACAGAAAACCATCGATGTGACGATTGCTTCCAAAGACGATTTCGACCTTTTCTATGACCTTCTGCAGCCAGGTGCTGGTCTGGTCGGGAAGAAAAAGATCGTTGAGAAGAATGTTGATGCCTTGCTCACTCTGGCGAAGTACTATCAAGTAAGCTTTCTTCAGAGAGCTTGTGAGGAAGTTCTCCTTAGCTTGCCCGCTTCGGTCCAAAGACTCTTGCAAGCCAAAGAGCACGGCCTGGCAAGGCAGCAGAGTCGCTGCATTGGAGCTTTGGCATGGTCTTGTACGAAGAAGGACCTAAAGATGATTCATGAAGCCTCACCAGACCTCGTGCTTCGCCTGGCTTACACTATGCGGGGTTACAGCGAGGAAGAGGGAGAGGGAGAAGAGGAGGGCGAGGAGGAAGAAGAGGAAGGTTTTCTAAATGATCCTGTTGTCACAATCCCGTGATAAGCTGCTGGTTTTGTAGCAGAAGCTTCACGCCTCTAGTTTCTGGTTGTGTCACTGAGACAGTGTGGGCACAACACGACACTACCCAAGTCAGGCCAAAAAAGTCTTTGGATGCTTTCCTTTGTGATTTTGCCTTGGATGCCCGTAGCTCTGCCTGAAGCATAAATCTCCAGGACTTGCACTACCAGCTGTACGATTCGTGCTCGGCGACTTCAGCTATCTTCAACTTCATCCGTCGGTTTGTTCGGCTGCGGTTGCTTATAAACTTATAGAGTTGCAGGGCTTTTAGGCATATGGAGATCGGTGAACTTCGACCTTGCAGGAATCCCACGCCCTGCGCCCCGCCTCCACCCGCCATTCCTGGTAGCCCGGCACCGCGCTCAATACGACCCTGAGTCTTGAAGGTTCGCAGTTTTCAGTCAATGGTTGCAAAATTGGCGTTTGTTGCAAGGTTCGGGCTCAGGCTGCAGGAGTAGTGCAAGCTGACTTGAAGATGGATGCTTCCAGCTCTTTGTAGGGCTTGCTGTCTCGAAGCAGCTCCGTGCACTGCACCTATGAAACTATGCGAAATCTTGCTGCCTGCAAGCCGCTAAACATTCGTTATGCATGTGCGGATAATCTCTCAGTGTCTGTGAAGTGTGTGTCATGCCGAATCCGCCTCTCGAGCAGGATCCTGCCCCGTCTAGCGAAGCTATGGACCTCGCCCATACTTGAGATTCCCAAACCTCTGTGCCGGAGGGCACAGAGGTTCATGTTCGCTATGACTGCTATGAATTCTGAAACCGCGAGCTTCAGCAGGGGGCCTCCGTGTACTCGCGGCCCAGCAAGCGGTGACGCGAATTCAAAGCAATAGCTGCGCATCATGTCCCGGACAGAGCCACGTGCTAAAGCGTATGCCCCAGAATGGAGAAGTGGCATGTCGAGAGCCGGGAGAGCGAAACCTGCAAGATATCATCCGGTTCTTGCAGTTCAACATCTTATCCTGACATCCCAGTAGCAAGAAAGATCACATTGTTTCACCGCTTCTGAAGTTCCCGACCCGGGCGGGTGTTAGCCAAAGGCTCCCTGTCTTACGTAGGGCGAGGGGGCGAAAACTGATGACCGCGATTGCAGTGAGGTGGCATCGCCAGCTACAAAGTTCCGAATGTGATTGTTTAGAACTGTATGCTTACATGGGTAAATCTGAGATATCAGAGTTGTCCGCCTGTGAAGTTGGAGCTTTGACCCATAGCCGCGTGGTTCGGGGTGAGAAACGTGACACGGCACAAATCAAGGTTCCGAAGCCTGTCATGCTTTACACTGACAGTCTATACAGTGATAGAGCGTGGGAGGCTGCGCAAGTCGTCACTCAAGTATTCGGCTTCGTCTGCGATGGCTGGTGGCCACGAGGCCCGAGCGCAGTAGAGCGACATCTGAGAAGAGAGGGAGAGAGATACAGGGCATGCGGGGCCAAAACTCGTGCCCATAGCCCTGCCGAAAAAACAGATACAGATATATGTATTTATATGTACATATATATATATATGTCTCCTAATTATCGGCTAGGTAGGTCTGGAATTGGGGGATCAGTTTTGCGATCGTAAGAACTGCCCTGAGGCCATTTATCCGTGGCCATTTTGGCACGAGCCGATCGGCCGTGCCCAAAAGAACCCACCCACTCCGCCCTTTTCTGTTCTT